TCTCTGTTTATTTCTTAAATACACAAAAACATTAACGTTAAATATACCTTTCTATTCTTTCTATGCACAAGACAAGCAACATTTTCTATAAAGTATCATTAATGCACTTATCTCAGTTCAAAGTTACTGAAATACTAGAAAAATGTGCTAACTGTTGTTAGCATTTGAAAAACATCTCAGCCCAATATAACAGCATAACACAAGCCTGATTCTATTACTCACTGATGAATTGGTGAGCTTTCATTCTGATAAATGCATTTTTAATCCAAACTCGACAGCATCACTTATCTCCTTAACAGAATTCAAATTATCATTCAGATGTTTCTGAAAACTACTGTGATGTTTCATTTTTACGGAAGAGTATTAGGGCCACTGCATAAATTTTTTTAAAAAAAAATATGCAGTGGCCCTAATACTCTTCCGTAGAATTCTGACTTTAAACTCAGAATTCTGAGAATAAAGTTGTTTAAAAAAAAATATGCAGTGGCCCTAATACTCTTCCGTAGAATTCTGACTTTAAACTCAGAATTCTGAGAATAAAGTTGTTTAAAAAAAAATATGCAGTGGCCCTAATACTCTTCCGTAGAATTCTGACTTTAAACTCAGAATTCTGAGAATAAAGTTGTTTAAAAAAAAATATGCAGTGGCCCTAATACTCTTCCGTAGAATTCTGACTTTAAACTCAGAATTCTGACTTTAAAGTCAGAAGATGACTTGAGAACTTTAAAGTCAGAATTCTACGGAAGAGTATTAGGGCCACTGCATAATTTTTTTTTTAAATTCTGACTTTATTCTCACAATTCTGATTTTAAACTCAGAATCCTGAGAATAAAGTCAGAATAAAAAAAAAAAAATTTATGCAGTGGCCCTAATACTCTTCCGTACATTTTAGATCCAACTTGACCTCAAGAATTCTTCCTCCAAAGTGGCAGAAGATGACTTGAAAACGATGGCTGAGAAGTGATGCACCATTCAAGCAATTACAACACAACACTGCATAACAAAGAAATGATCCCACTTGCTCAAATGTGACTCAGTGATGACATATGCACCAGTATGAGCTGAGGGGACCTGTCCTCACACACTGAAACATACAGTATATACAAACAAGGTAACAGTGTAATTATAGCCACCTGCGTGCTGTACTGTTAAAATATAAACACAAAGCATGTGAGCTTTCATTAGACATACACTTGGCTATTGTAATACCCAGCATGGATTGTTTACTTTCCCACCTAGAAGCAGCAATCTGGTCTCGCATGTGACCACTGTTCTCTGCTTTCCGTTTGACATCATGACCTCACCCAGATACAATACGAACATGGACCAGCGTACAGGGGTATGACAGTGGAACTATGGAAACTATGCAGAAGAGGTATCTTCAATGGTTTACTGTGTAGTTGTAGACTAGTTTCACATGATGCAGATCCCTGGATGGTAATGCTGGAGGGTCAGTCAATCCAAGACTGGTCAAGACTGAAATATTTCAACAACTACAAGATGGATCACCATAAACCCTGACACAGACATTCATGTAGCCCACAGGAAGAATAGTGCTAAATTTGGTGGCCCTTCAAATTTTCATCTAGCTCCATCATCTGATCAAAATTTCACTTTGTTCGTGAAGGATGAATTAATTGGAAAACTGATGACAGCTATTTTCTTTGTTATCATCATGGCTGTGTGGAAAACAGTAGAAGAATGGCTTTTACATCGCAACAGCACCTTTCTAAATAATGTTGCATTGTGGCCATAGTTGGGCCTGGTTCAACACTTTTTAGCTGGAGGCCATGCATTGGCACGCCTGCAAGACTGGCTCCATTCAAAGGGATAAGAGGGCTACATTTTTCAGACAAGGATGCTGCTGATCTGAGCACAGCCTTAGTCTTGACTTTCCTGTTTGCAGTGCTGGGAATAGACACATGAGAAAAGGAAATTTGCTTTTCATTGCCTTAATCATCATCGCTTCCTGCAAATCTCTCTCAAAACAATAATCTGTGATAGGCATTCAGGACAGAGACCGATAAAAAATCAGACTATAACTATGTGGTAAAAGTAAGAGGAATAGTGGAGCAGTGGTTAGCGTTGCTGCTTCACAGCAAGAACGGTCCAGGTTTGAGTCCCGGCTGACCCGGGGCCTTTCTGTGTAAAGTTTGTGTATTCTCCCTGTACCTGCTTGGGTTCCTTCCAAGTACTCTGGCTTCCTCCCACAGTCTAAAAACATGCAGCTTAGGTTGATTGGCAACTTTAAATTGTGTGTGTGGTTGTCTGTCTCTAAGTGATAGACTGGCAACCTGTCCAGGGTGGACCCTGCCTCTTGCCCAGTGTCAGCTGGGATTGGCTCCAGCTCCCCTGTGACCTGCTTCAAGATAAGTGATAGAGCAAATAGATGGTAAAAGCAAAGAAAACTTTATGGCCAACTCAACAGTGAAACCCTCCAATGCTCCAGGCTTTCCTTATTACATCTTCAAAACAAACATGCTTCTCAGATAAAATATCCAATAGATTATTTGTTCAAATGATCATATATGAAAACCTACTCCCTGATAACAAAAGTCAGGTGCACCTTTGTACTTCTTGCCCCTTAAATTCCTAGAACATTTGGAGCATGTTTTACTTGGAAACACAGAAAGTCCATGTGATCTCATTGTTTTCAACTTTAGCCAGACCATGAATGGCACGCCACAAGGACTGAGCTGGCAAGACATGGAGTACAGTACACGCAGTGAGTGTTGGGAGGTCAGCAGCTGGCTTTGCTTAAAGTATTTCCGCTGTGACTGCTGTCATTAAATGTTATAAAAAGCTTCTTCAAATGGTTCCACAGTAGCTAGTCTCAGTGCGTGCATGGGCCGCTGGGATGATGTGAAATGACTTCCCCCCCAGATCTCTCACCCACCCTCTGCTGCTGATCCTCAGGGCAGGGTTGTGGTGTTTGTGCCAACATCCTAACATGTGGCAATGTGTGCACCACCCTTTAATTTGTGCAACACGTGGCATCGGGGTAACCGGCAACACAGAACTGTGCATGGCATGCTTTGCCAAATGATCTGGAAGCAATGACACAGACAGTGCATAAAGAACCTTGAAACAAAACATTTAGATTTGCAGCATTATTAAAGTTTATTTTATGTTCCCTTTCAAATGGAAAGATTAACCTAGATGATCTTCTTTCTGCCAGGTTTCAGGTTTCATACACCCACTCTCACTCCTAGGGGCAATTTAGAGTCACCAATCAACCTAAGCTGCATGTCTTTGGACTGTGGGAAGAAGCCGGAGCACCCGGAGAGATCCCACACAGGCACAGGGAGAACATGCAGACTCCACACAGAAAGGCCCCGGGTCGGCCAGGGCTCAAACTTTCTTGCTGTGAGGCGACAGCTGTGCCGCCCCTGTTGAAGATATTTACAACCATAATACAAATTGTAAAAGGTTTACAGAAACAAAAAGCATCTTGGATGACAGATGATTTAATCACATCTAAGAAGTGACATTTGGACAACCCACAAATGTTAAGTGTAGCTTATTTTAAGAAACCCCTCCTCTTACTAAATGCCTTTTCTGGCATAAAATGTAACAGCAACATGAACAGCTCAACCAGATGTTGCCACATCACTGCTTCACACACTAAGAAATTTACTCACAATCCAGAGTATTAGAGGTTTTTGATTTGATTTGATTTATTTATTCTTTCAAGCATATAAAACAGTTGATATAACACACATTTTTACACATAATCCAATATCAATTTGCTTATACCTAATACATGCTTGAATGGAGTAGGAAGAAGTCAGACTTATCCAGTCCTACCCCATGACATCATCTTTCCATCATTGGTTTGCAAGCAATAAATGATTCACTTCTGCACACACACACATTATACTTAGAAAGAATATAAACAGTGTTAACATTCTTAAGTCACACAGTTGATATAATAAAGAATGGTTACAAAATATAATCATTGAGCCTGTTCTTGCTTATATCTTGATTGACACACACCTTAATATTTACGTTTGAACTCGTCAATTCTATTACTATTTTTTATGTCCACACTTAAAGTATTCCATAGTTTTACCCACTTATGGAAATACAAAATCTTTTTTTGGTTGTACGTATAGCATGAATTTTAAAATTTAACTGACCCCTTAAATTGTATCCCCCTTCCCTTTCATTAAATAGTTTTTGAATTCCACCAGGTAATAAATTGTTCCTGGCTTTATACATAAACACAGCAGTCTTATATCCCACTAAATCAAAACATTTTAACAATTTAGACTGTATGAAAACTCCATTGGTGTGATCCCTGTACCCCATCTTATGCACAATTCTTATCGCTCTCTTTTGTAATATACTTCAGGTTTTACTTAGAGTTGAAAGATGGGATTACTAGTAAATGTGTAAGCACATGGGGCAACAAATATTGTGGCTCAGGAGGTAGAGCAGGTCATGTCCTAACCAGAAGGTTGGCAGCTTGATTACAGACTTGCTCTAGCCCACGTGTCCTTAAGATGCTGAACCCCCAGTTGCTCCCAGTGAAATCACCGGTCTGACACTCCAAGTGTGCTATAATGCACAAAAGCACTATATAGGTATAAGACCATGTACAAATGAAGCCAGTTTTATAGTATAGATATTGAATATTTTCTTCCCATAACAGGAGTTGGGACAACTAGCAAACATGCTTGGCAGTGTTTCACACCCCAATCACAAACAGTGGCATAGTCCCCCCCCCACACATACACACAGTTCGAGTCCTACATTATGTGTGGTTACAATTGTGATCGTTTGGATTAGCAAAACATCAAAATTAACAGCAACGTAAACAATCTCTGGTTTCCAGTCACAGTGCCCTCACTGCCAATTTTGGGCAACATTCAATTACGACACCCAGTTATGTGCATCTTTGGGAACCAAGTCCATCTTTAACAAGACCGACCACAATGAAGATACCAAAGCTTCTTTCAGAGATGTGATGGTTAAAATAACAGGCAAAGGAAAGTTTCTACAAATAAAAGGTGAATTTATTTAATTTTCAAAAAAGTATTGACATTATGTACATGATCACATCCCAAAAAGCCACATATAGTAACACTATGCACAAAGGTTTGTATGTAAAAAGGCACAATAACCCACACACTAACAGTCACACTCAGCATCTAGGAGGAATTCATACAACATAAGCTTCATTATGGGATGTGCTCTGATAAATAATGTTGGTCTTGCAGTGCTTCCATGTTTTCATAAATAACGATATTTAAAAATGTACAATACAGCGACTACAGTTGCTGGTGTTGTGTCCAGTGGCACAGACTGTTTCACAACTCCGCAGGTAACCTCCACCTGTGTGTTTTCCAGCTGAAGTGGCTCAAGGCCTCATTTCCAGAAGCCAACGGAAACCTTCCAGAGTCTGACACCTGAAGCCCCTCCCAATCTTGCGCTGATCCTTCCTCCTACAAAAAGTGCTCAAATAAAGAAAAGGCAGTGCTTCTCGCTGATCCATGTTAGGCCACCCCCCATGGTTATGGTGCTTTGGTTGTTAGACATGCTCTGCTTTACACGGCCAGCCTGCTGATTAAAAACAAGAATAATCTCACATAGCACATGATACAGCTCTTTGATTTACAATTAATGCACAATTTCTAACAAGCTTCATCACAGTCTATACCGTTTTCTTGGTTTCACTTCCCAGCCATCAAGACATTTCACAAAAGTTATGGCTTCTCCTGGTGAAATTTCCGTTTTTGAAGGGTCTTGGGCGCAGAAAGTAAATCTGTGGCACCGAACACAATAAAAGCAAACTTAAGTGTTTGACCAGAGTAATAGCAAACTCTGCAGTGGTGGATGTTCAGGAACTACTCAGCCGCCCCCAACCCAAAACTTACTTCTTCTGTGTTTCTCCAGCTTTTACACGAATTCGCCTAATTTCAAGAACAGATTTTGCTGGTATTGTGTTCCAGGCCCAGAACCTCTGCTTGAGGCTCTTCCAGACAGAGTTCCAAGATTCAGATTCTCCTTCCCAACTCAGACGGATCTTCAGCAGGTCTCCAACATCCTCCTCAGTAAACACCAAGAAGGTATTTGTCAGGTTCATACCGACTGTGCCATCATAGCTGGGGAAAGGACAAAATCAGGTCAGACGGATCTTCAGCAGGTCTCCAACATCCTCCTCAGTAAACACCAAGAAGGTATTTGTCAGGTTCATACCGACTGTGCCATCATAGCTGGGGAAAGGAAAAAAAAAATCAGGTTAAGTCCTAAAAAACTGAAGACGAGTTCAAAGCAGTTGTCTTTTAGTCTT